TAAGCTCACTTGCCCATCGGGCAGGTGAGCTAAAAATTGAACTGTAAGCCAAGTGATAACTAATACCCCCCACTCTCATATAAACTAGAACACTGACAGGTCAGTAAGGGCCCTGTCTTGTGGCAATATATCCCCCATAATCATCAAGAAACAATCTGCCCATATACATGTAGCTGAGCTTGACATCTGACATTTGGACTTCAAAAAGAATCGCTGGGCTAACAGAAATGTAAATACCGGTGCAATACTCATTTGTTAGCTTATTTCACCTTAAATACCCCCTCAATCAAGAGCCAGGGTCAAAGTCAGAGATCCACTTTGTCTTTGACCTTTGAACCCAAATGACCTTGACCTTTAACCCAGTGACCCTGATCTTTGGTCAGTTGACTTATTTTTTAATTCCGACCAACTTTGCTTTACAATATCATAAATTGTTCATCAGTGAAAAATACAAAACTTGACCTTGACTTTGAAGTTCGTAACCTGGACCCCCTGTTAAGTTCTGAACAACTTTGCTTCACAATAACATTAAAAAAACTGTTCATCAGTGAGAAGATTCCAATCAACATTGCTTCAAAGTGTCATAATAAAATGCCACCAGTGAAACGGTACCAAATTTAACCTTGACCTTTGATCCAATGACCTTGACCTTTGGTCAGTTGACTTTTTGTTTAATTCTGACCAACATTGCTTCATAGTGTCATAACAAATTGTTCATCAGTGAAAAGATACAAAATTTGACCTTGACCTTTGACCTTGTGATCTTGACCTTTGTCAGTTGACTCTTTGTGTAATTCCGACCAACTTTGCTTCACAATGTCATAAAATGCTCATCAGTGAAAAGCTACAAAATTTGACCTTGACCTTTGACCTAGACCTCTGACACGATGACCTCGACTTTCAGTCAGTTGACTCCTTGTTTCTTTCTGATCAACTTTGCTTCATCATGTCATAAAAAAATGTTCATCAGTGAAAAGATGCAAAATTTGACGTGGACCTTTGAACCTTATGACCTTGACCTTTGACCTTGACTTTTTACCTCAGTGAGTATTTTTGTGAGTTGAACAACTTGACCAAGTTTCATGTAAATCGGTCAATAAATACTAAAGTTATCAGCCAGGAACAAAATTTGTGGACGGACAGACAGATGGACAGACAAAGTGATTACTATAGGGCACCCGTATCTCCGATACGGGGCCCTAACTAGAAATGTAAGCCAAGTGATAACTAATACCCCCCTCTTTCATATAAACTAGAACTGTAAAGGAAGTTCTAACTAATACCCCCCACTCCAATATAAACTAGAACTGTAAGCCAATTGATAACTAATACCCCCCACTCTAATAAAGACTAGAACTGTAAAGCAAGTTCTAACTAATACCCCCCACTCCCATATAAACTATAACTTTAAGCCGACGTACGGACAGACAGACAAGCGGATTACAGTATACCTCCCCAAACTTTGTGGGTAAAACCTGCACAACTAAGGACGAAGGGGAATTTACATATCAAATGTGAGAAAGATTCCTCCAGTACTTTCTGAGAAATAACAATAAGAAGAATTGTTTAAGGACCAATGGACGGATGACAGACCACGGACCATGGACCACAGATTAAGGGCGATATGAATTGCCAACCATCAGATTATGGCGGGCAATTAGAATCATGGTTGGCTTATAAAGATATACCTAGACCAAATTGTTCAAAGGATAAAGTCAAACGACTGGTTGCAGTGACCTACTTCTTGTACTTGACATTCCACCATCACAAGATGTACATGCATATACAAAATCTGGTTACTCCAGTTAAAATAGTTTTGAAGATATGCCACAGACATATATACAATGTGCACATAAATGAACAAATAAAGGGTGGTATTTACATGACATCTTTGCAAAGAGCCTAAAATGCAGACGTGAAAAGGCGAGTTTTGATGTCCCTCTTGAACTCGGCCAAGGTATTTGACTTTCTAATAGCAGATGGTAAGCTATTCCACAACGTGGCCGAAACCCTCCCAAAGCACCAGTTTCCTAAGGTCACAGTACAAGATTTTGGGACACACAACAATATTATTTTGGCAAACTTTCTTAAAAAACAAAAAAATGAAAAGGGGCATAACTCTTAAGAAACTTTGTTGACAGCAAGCAAAAGGGCACAACATCCAATAATAGAAAAGTACTTTTATGCCAATGTTGGGAGAAATCCCTTCACGATCCATGCTTTATAAGATACACTTGACACAAATATTCGGGATGAGGAGTTATCCTAGAGATTCTAGAGGGATGCCTGGATCATGGCGCCCACCGTAAAACGATCTTGATAAGCTCTACAACAGATGATTTTTTTTCCTTTTTCGCTGTTCATTTACCTTACAGGTACTATTACCCAGTCCCTTGTTGGAAATAGTACACAGAAATCTTGTATATTAACTTAATTAACCTTGTAATGTCAAATGTTATTTGTCACTATGACAAATGTTGTATAAGAATTGCATAACTACCTGCAAAATGCTAACAACTTGTAATTCTTACAGAATTAGAAGTTCTGTCAATGATGGATGAAATTTCATTAGGGCCAGAGTTATTTATAACAAGGGGACTAATGGGAACATCCATATAAAATAGCGATAACAAAATTGAACTGTCAGATTCACGATGGCTGTCTGGTGGCCATCTTTTTTCAGATCTGTCCCAAAAATCAATATGGATATGGAACCTTTGTGTATTAATCACCTGAATATTTAAGCAGTCATAGCAAATTATTCTCATTAAATATTATACTGTACTACAAATATTTCAATCACAAACTTTGTCGGCTCAATCCTTTGAAAGGTTCTTAAGAAGAGGTTGTTGGAAATGTTTGACATATTTGTCCCTGTAAACTTTTAAGTAGCTCAAGGTCATTTTCCTTCTCAAACTTTTTGTTAGCTCTATCCCAAAAAGCCACCAGCCAAATAATATGATTCTATGCCTTTCGATTATTCATCAGAAGTCCTTGATGTTTTTGACATATTTGACCCCCATGACCTAGAAGGTCAAGGTCATTTTCATTTGCAAACTTTGTTGACATTAATAAAAAAAAAAGATACCAGCCAAATATTAAGAAGTCATTTAAAGTGTTGGACATAGTTGACCCCTTTGACCTTTAAAGTAAGTCAATGTCATTTTCTTTAAGCCTTTGTCAGGCTCTTATGAATGAAGCCACCAGCAAAATATCATGACTCTAGGCCTGTCCATTCTTCAATAGAAGTTGTTAAAAGGAAAAGGTGACGGACGACGACGGACGGACGCCAGACGCACCATGATATTATAAGCTCACTTGCCCTTCAGGCATGCACAGGTGAGCTAAAAATTAAACAAGAGGCCCAGAGGGCCTGTATCGCTCACCTGAGTATGTTTAAAATAATTGGTATGAAGTAAAGATATTGCACTCCATGGTAGGTGCTGTAAGTACATATGAAATTTCAGAAAGATCCATCCAGTACTTGAGATATAGCGAGAACCTCTCGGCCATCTTGTCCTGAAATTTTAATATGCATAACAAGGGACCATGGGGAACCTTCATGTGAAATTTGAAAAAGATCCCTTCAGTACCAAGCGCTTGCGCAGAAATAGTGCTAATAAGAATTGTTTAAGTACAGGCAGATGAATTAATAGAATGAAGGAATGACAGATGACCACGGACAAAGGGTAATTTGAATAGCCCACCATCTGATGATTGTGGGCTAACTAGAACTGTCGCCTACGGGCTAACTAATACCCCCACATTCCGGCTGCTTGTTGTTGCTGTAGGAGCTAAATAAACAAGCGAAAAATATATCATGAAAAAGTCTAACCTCAGATGTTGTATCGACAAACCCATGGAAAAAACAAACAAACACCACTACTGTGACCTTTGACTCAATGACCTTGGAATTTTGTCACAATGTAGCTTGCATCAATGCTACATTTACTCCAAAGTATGTGACATTATACAAAGTATGACCTTTGACCTCCGACCCCACAACCTGGGAAACTGTCAGTAGAGTAGATTGCATTAAAGCCTTCTAGTATAATTACCATACCAAATTTGAAAGGAAATAACTAAAAATAAAAAATAAAAAAGTTCTTGTGTTTTCTATACAATGTCATGGTCTAGAGAAGGTTTATGTACCAAGGGCCATAACTTCGTAAAAAGGGGAGATAACCCAATGAACACACATTTCCAAGCTGCAAGGATTGTTATCAGCAAATTTCATTGAAATCCATCCAGCAGTTTAGGAGGAGTACAAGGTACTACAGTGCATCCAAAGACGGACGGACGGACGGACAGACAACCTGATTCCAGTATACCCCCCTAACTTTGTTGCAGGGGGTATAAAAAACGACATCACACTGAAGGAATTTTAACCAAATTACATGACGATCAAAAGGGCACAATATCATATCACAGGGAAGAAATATGCTAAATTTGAAAGAAATCGCTTCAGTAGTTCTAAGATACGCTTGACACAATATTGCGAACAGTTGGTCAGTCGGAGTGATTCCAATATACCCCCTATAATGTATTGATGTAATGTTTTTATGTTATGTACTTCAGTCTGCCCTACTAAAGCTGATTGCAAAATATCTGAGATTGGGAATTCAATATTTTTCATATTTTGCATAATTCTCCCATCATTTTTCTCAAATAAATGGCCCCTTCAGCCTGGAGGAGAATGAACATTGATTTATATTGAATATGAAAATAATCGTCTATTTATGACTAATAACAAAACCCAGTCCAAATGCCATTTTCCAAGTTTGATTTTATGTAAGCATCATGCACTAACATTTATGTGTCATAGAAGTTTTAAACTGGGATATTTATCAGACTTTAACTAATGTCTTTCGGTTATTTAGGAGATGTCAGCTTAAGTCGAGAGGAGAGGAGATCATGACAAATATATATCACTACACAACTATTCAACACACAGACAGTGATTTCTATAACGTTTGTAAAAGGGAGCAATAAAGGGTTACCTCAACCTTGTCCAGGTGTGTTCCCACAAGTATCACAGGCGGCAGGTGCTCAGCAGCACCGCTGTATAGGTGGACAGAGTTCATCCAGTACGATACAAAATCTGTAATAAAAGATATTGGTTTATTATTTATATATTGTAATTACAAAGCAAGAGGAATCTAGAACTTTGAAGTGATTCCCCTGCGACTTTCGGAGAAATATCAAAATTCAGCTGTCAAAATCAAATGACATGCATCTGGCAGTAATCTTGAGCTTTTTAATCAGTCTCAAAAGTGAAAATGCAGAACGAATGACCAAAGGGAACATTTGATTGTGAAATTTAAGAATTATAGATTATCACACTGTGTTTTCAGGGTTTGTCGTGAGAACAATTTTCTCAATGTGAGCTTGTAGATAAAATCACATAAAATCAAGATTTTATCAACGTGTGAGTGATAAGAAAAATTTGTCAAGCAACAAAACCTGAAAATAATTTTGTGATAATCTGTTTATGCTTTACATGTATGTAATACTGCTTTCTTTAATATTTCTCCATTTATAAAAAGCCAACTAAACACCGCATTTTCCAAATAACTTGCTATAGGCCTAGGCTTAATGATCGATCCTCAGTCGCAAAGAAACATTAATCCATTCTCAAGTCATTTTCAACTTCTTTTTACCGCACCATCATCTGATGGTGGGCTATTCAAATCACCCTGCGTCCGTGGTCCGTCCATGGTCCGCCGTCCATCCTTAAACAATTCTTGTTATCAGTATTTCTCAAGAAGTACCAGAGGGATCTTTCTCAAATTTTATATGTCGGTTCCCCTTGGTCCCTAGTCGTAAGCTGTGCAGGGCAACTTTTGAGACTGATCGGATAAACAACATGGCCAACAGGCAGCCATCTTGGATTTTGATAGTGAAAGTTTGTTATCATTATTTCTCAAGAAGCACAAGAGGGATCTTTCTCTTATTTTATATGTAGGTTCCCCTTAGTCCTAAGCTGTGCAGGGCAACTTTTGAGACTGATCTGATAAACAACATGGCCAACAGGCAGCCATCTTGGATTTTGATATTGAAAGTTTGTTATCGCTATTTCTCAAGAAGGACTAGAGGGATCTTTCTCAAATTTTATATGTAGGTTTCCCTTAGTCCATAGCTGTGCAAGGCAACTTTTGAGACTGATCTGATAAACAACATGGCCAACAGGCAGCCATCTTGGATTTTGATATTGAAAGTTTGTTATTTCTCAAGAAGCACTAGAGGGATCTTTCTCAAATTTTATATGTAGGTTTCCCTTAGTCCATAGCTGTGCAGGGCAACTTTTGAGACTGATCGGATAAACAACATGGCCGGACAGGCAGCCATCTTGGATTTTGATATTGAAAGTTTGATATCGCTATTTCTCAAGGAGCACCAGAGGGATCTTTCTCAAATTTTATATGTAGGTTCCGTCCCCCTTGATCCCTCGTTGTGCATGTTATATTTTGAGACTGATCATAAAAAAAAATGGATTAAAAGAAGAACTAAACAGATCTTTCTCATATTGCAATGATCGATTCTATTTCTTTCACATTAAGTACTGTACTAGTAAATATGTGAAATGACAAACTCTCTTTGAAGGTTGGCTTTCATACACATCAGTATTAAGTTTAGATCAAAAGTTACCTCAATGTGCATTTACTGTTAACATGACTCGATCAAACAGATTAGAGGAAAGAAGAGAAAAGATCGAACTGACAAATAACTAATGAAGATGGTACAAAGGTGGGTGCCAAGATCCCATTGGGATCTCTTGTTAAGTATTTTCATACTGACAACCCATGATAATGAATGTATCATGCTACCAGTAGGTGGTATAAATTAGTATATAGATGATAAAGATCTGTATCATACCTTTTGTGAAATATTGAAAATTAAAAAGAGGTCTTAGGGCCTTATACATCCATTACTTGAGTTGTAATGCAATCGTTGTTTGATGTTATATGACATAATAAAGTTGCCAATGGCACTGGAGGATTAGCAGCATCACTTTCTTTTTCCCAAAATTTAATTAAAACCTTTTAAATGTCTGGAAAATGCGACAATGAACACAATGATGTATCCGTTTCCTTTCTCACTTTAAAAGTGACCGAGTAATATGAATTCTCCTGACAGGTGTATTTACCAATTCTGCTCTCAAACTACCAACAAAGGGAGGTAATCTGAAAAATGAAAACTTGAATAGGTTTGTAGTTTTCATGAATAAAATTTCTTTTTGGGTGAAATATGATGCCTTGAGATCATGTGCATGTAGAAAACAAACAGTACAGTGATACTATGATGTTACTGTCTTGTTTGATGACGTCATAGTAACTGTGATGTCATCATAACTATGACGTCATCAATGGGCATCTATGACATCATCGAGGATCACTGATATCAAAATATTGAACACTAGGAAACCCATCTCAACAACAAACTAGCAACAGACACACTTCCCGTAACCGATGAACAGCACAGAAATGTAAGATATTCTGAGAAATCAGACAAGTGCCACCATAGCAACCGTTATTTACTTTCCTCGCCTAGAATTGACAGTGACCCTCAGAAATTGTTCATTTAACATATTTCGCTAGAAAAAAAAGATTTTCTTCAGCTGTAATTATGGAAATAAAATTTATTGACATTACTGACTTTGCTTATTTCATCTGTATGCTGAATCAAGTGGAAAAAAACATCTAAAATAGTGTAATTAAAATGAAAACAGATATTTTACCCATTTTTACCCATTTTCAATAAATACAACTTTATGTATTAGTAACCATGGCTACCGGGTGCTGAACTGAGTGAAACAGACTGAAATCTAGTATGAATGCATCAGGAGATAGCCTGTGAACTATTTGATGTTTGGTATCAACTTTACCAATAACATAATTGACACATATGTGATGAATTGCAGAATTTCACAAGTGCCTGTGAAAGCGCGAGTTACCTCTCTTTATACATCCACAGGTAACAGGCTAATGACCTATATATAGACCTATCTATGTAACGGGTTTTTTGGCGTTTTTGAGTAGTTTTAAGTATTAATGAATGAAAGTGAAGCTGAATCAAGCATAAAAAGGGATTTTTTCAGAAAAAATCAAGTTCTATGTGTATATGGTAGCAGAATACAGTAGAAATGGCCCGACTCTGATAAACAAGGCACATGTCGAGGAAATGTAAACACAGCGGTTTTACCCTACACAACACATGTATACATGTATATATATTTGTAAACTGCATTACATTTACAATACATATAAAGCACTGAGAAGTGTATAAACCTCTTTTTTCTATGTATGTCACTTGTGTGAAAACCATGGTTACCACATCAAAAATTACCAAAAAATGCCAAAAAATGCTATTTTTAACCCAAAATTTGACCCCCGCAAGTAGTAATTTTTTTCCTAAGCTCTGTCTGAAATTAAAGATTACCTACCTGGTTGCAGAATTATCTGGGTCGCAGTAAAATTGTAGAACTTGATTTTTTGCAATTTTGCGTCGTGTGCTGTTGTCAAAATTTTACCTCCTGTAAAGCTAGCTTTTCATGCGTACGCACCCTTTCGTATTATGGCCAAAATTTTGTTCTCGAACCAAAGAAATCTTCTTTCTTTTTTACAAATGTGAAGCTCACATAGCCCACTTCATCATGCTTATACCAATTTTAGTACAGTTTTATTTCTATAATTTTTCTACATATCATTATACAGGGGTTAGCCATTTAACAAAAATATCACCCATGGCCACAACCCTCTACTGTACACTGCTACCTATGGTGGGGTTTTTTTATAGATTTTATCCTGAATGGGAAGACTTCAAAAAAGTGTTCGTATACATTATGTGGAATGAAATATAACAAAACTGGACAAAAGACCAAACAGATATTACATATGATCCTAATAAGTCTGTAAACCATGGATTCCCAGACAAAATGATGTATTTGAGTGACCAACATATATATTATATTTATATCGGAGTCAGAATCTTTGTTGTGTGTCCCAAAATCTTGTACTGCGACCTATGGAAACAGATGCTTTGGGAGGGTTTCAGCTACATTGTGGAATAGCTTACCATCTGCTATTAGGAAGTCAAATACCCTGGCCAAGTTCAAGAGGGACATCAAAACTCACCTCTTCACGTCTGCGTTTTAGAATCCTTGCAAAGATGTAAAAAACACCCTATTATTTGTTCAATTATGTGTACATTGCTTGTTTAAATGTATTTAAGTGACTGTAAGCCTTTGTTTTTTGTTTTCACAATTATAACCATTAATTATAAGCGCTTTTTACAAATTATATAGGGCGCTATATAAATGTTGTATATTATTTTATTATTATTATTACTGTGGCAGGGATAGCCTGTCCAAGTATTATGGATAGTGTAGTAATTAAATTATAATGTTTTAAGAAAGGCGGATGAATGAAGTAATATTAGTGGAGTTTAATATGTAATTATGTCTTGTTTGTTCAGGTGTACATGTACTGTGTGTTTAGTATCTAGTCTTGTTCAGTGTCATTGTCCATGTGTCAGTTGTTCAGTGCCATGTGCTTTTGTTTATGTTTTGTTCTGTAACCTGTGACCTGTTTGTGACCTGTAACCCCATACTTACCTGTTGGTCATGTGACCTTTCCTACCTGCCCATGCAATTCACCTGAGTGTAAATCAGTTCTGGCAGACAGGTTGGAGGGATTGACCATATGTAAAAGGTAGGAGTTAATATGTTCAAAATTAATGTAATTTTGAAGATACTCTTTTCATGTAATAGCTAACTGTAAAACAGATTGTATTTACTCTCCAAATTAGGATGAGATATTTTGAGTAACTAGTATAGTGTACTTTATTGATGTACTGAGTAATGTTCAGGCTATATGCTCTGTGAATATTTGGAAATTTGGAATAACTTCTTTCTATTTCTATTTTAATGATAATGTAAATATATCAGACTAAATCAATTACATACTACGATGTAACAGCTATTAATTGTTCTTGCAAGTAGTGTAAAGAGTCATTGGTTATTTGTTCAGATTCGCCTGCAGTTATATATACTGGATTATCAGGATTATGTGGGAACCCTTGTCGCATTGATAGAGTAAGTTCATTACAGTTATATATAATATAAACAATGTATATTACAAATGATATATGTTATTGGTCTAAGTAATGTGTAATATATTAGCCAGTTAAATAGGTTATAAAGTCTATTTTGTCCATGAGCATTGTTATATAAAGTCAATGAAATCAGTAAATATATTGTGAAATAAATCATAAGTATGAAATGTGATTAATAATAAATGATAAATGTAATTATACAGATAATGATATGAAACCTTGTAATAGGTACAGTGTAATGTTTTAGTAACAAGGTGGTGTCTACTGCATGTTGTCTTATACGTTCGTTATTGTGTTCTTGTAGGGTGTAAGATTTTTCCAGCTAGTCTGATGTCCACAAATGGAATAATTAAAAGAATGGAAACCAAGAACGTGTTTGTTGTAACGCCTCTGCCCAAATCCCATCCCTGTTTCATTACTAGGGATATATATATATATACATATAATATATAGCTGGTATTTGTCAGGAACAAGAAAATCAGTAAAACTGACGGATTTGCTCCCTGAACAGTTCACCAGGATTGAAACATAATGTGACTTCAATGTGATCTTGATCCTGGACATACAGACCCCAAAGTGGTATTGTCACACCACCTTTCCAACCTACATAAATCACTCTATTTCATGGAGCTATCTTCTGTAAGTCAGATGTTATGGTTTCGGCAAAAGATTTGGATAAATGGGCAAATGGACAAAGCAGTGACAATTTTTCCGGTAGCATAAAATGTAAAACAAGAGGCCCATGGGCCTGAATCGCTCACCTGGTATTAATATCACACTTGAACTCTTAAAAGTGGACTAAAATGCAGCTACAGGAAGAATATCAGTGTTTGATTCATATGAGCCTATTAAAAGATTTAAACATATGACGCCTGTGATCTTGAATATTGAACAAGGACATTAGGTTGAACAGAGTTTAAAGTCTTCCAACCCAGCATGCTTTTGGCAATATATCATAACCCTGGACCTATTCGTTATACAGAACAAGTCATTTAAAGATTTAAACAGATATTGACCACTGTGACTTTCAATATGGGCGAAGGTCATTCATTTTGACAAAATTGGTAGCCCTTCATTCCAGCCTGTTAATGACCAAATATCATCTGCCCCTGTGACCTTGAATATATGTAAAGGTCATTCATTTGAACAAACTTGGTAGCCCTTCATCCTGGCATGTTACTGGCCAAATATCATTATCCTAGGCTTCTTAGTTATCCAGAAGAAGTTGTTTAAAGATTTCTTAAGACAATTGACCCCTGTGACCTTGAAAATGGACGAAGGTCATTGATTTGAACAAAATTGGTAGCCTTTCATCACAGCATGCTACTGGCCAAATATCGTAACCCTATGCCTCTTAGTTATTCAAAAGAAGTTGTTTAAAGGTTTTTGACATATTTGACCCCTGTGACCTTGCATATAAGTCAAGGTCATTCTTTTGAACAAAATAGGTAGCCCTTTATCCCAGCATGCTAATGGCAAAATACCTTAACCCTAGTCGTCTTAGTTATTAAGAAGAAGTTGTTTGAAGTTTTTTTTAACATATTTGACCCCTGTGACCTTGAATATAAATCAAGGTCATTCATTTGAACAAACTTGGTATACCTTCTTCCCAGCATGCTACTGGCCAAATATCATTATCCTAAGCCTCTTGGTTATTCAGAAGAAGTTGTTTAAAGGTTTTAAACATATTTGACCCATGTGACATTCGAACACACTTGGTAGCCCTTCATTCTAGCATGTTACTGGCCAAATATCATTAGCCTAGGCCTCTTAGTTATTCAGAAGAAGCTGTACAAAGATTTTTTAAGACAATTGACCCCTGTGACCTTGAAAATGGACGAAGGTCATTGATTTGAACAAACTTGGTAGCCTTTCATCACAGCATGCTACTGGACAAATAGCATCATCCTAGGCCTTTTGGTTAATGAGAAGTTGTTTAAAGGTTTTTACAATATTTGACCCCTGTGACTTGAAAATGGACGAAGGTCATTCATTTGAACAAACTTGGTAGCCCTTCATCCCAGCATGTTACTAGCCAAAAATCATCACTCTGGGCATTTTGGTTATTCAGAAGAAGTTGTTTAAAAGTTTTTAACATATTTGACCCCTGTGACCTTGAAAATAGGTGAAGGTAATTTATTTGAACAAACTTGGTAGCCCTTCATCCTAGTTTGCTTCTGGCCAAATATCATCACGCTAGGCCTTTTGGTTATTAAGAAGAAGTTGTTTAAAGTAAAATATTGACGCCGGACGCCGGACGCAGGACGCCGGACGGACGGACGACGGACGCTGCACCATGGCATAAGCTCAGGTGAGCTAATAATACTAACATATTACAAGAGGCCCACAGGGCCTGTATCGCTCACCTGGGTATTTAAGCAATCATGTCAAAATATTCTCCAAATGAGATCCAAGGGAATATGCCAGACCCCAATACCAATTCTTGTAGTATGTCTGTATCAGATTTGTCATGCCCAGCAGTTTTATGTATGGTTATGGGGTGGGGATCGCTCTCAGCTATTTTCAAGCTGTGACTCAGAAACTAGGTCCTTAGAGTTGTGGCCAGACCCAAGGATCAAGTCTAATATCATGACTGCATTCGTCTCTTTTTGCCCAGCATTTGTATTTATAATTTTGGGGTGGGGATCTTAACCATTTTGAAGTTTTGACCCAGGGGTTTAGTCACCAAGGGTGGGGGCAGACCCATAGGCCATCCTGGAAATATATGTGCATTCATCTCTTTATACTCAGCAATTGTATATATGATTATAGGGTGGGGATAACAACTGTTTCCAAGCTGTGATTAAGAAACTAGATCCCTAGGGGTTTGGTCAGACCTCAGGGTCTATTCTAATATCATGACTGCATTCGTCTCTTTATGTCCAGCATTTGTATATATAGTTCTGGGGTGGGGATCTCAACAGTTTCAAAGTTATGACTCAGGGACTATGTCTCTAAGGGTGGGGCCAGACCCTAAGGCCATCCTGGAAGCAAATGTGCATTCTTCTCTTTATACTCAGCAATTGTATGTATGGTTATACGGTGGGGATCTCAACCATTTCCATGTAATAAATCTTTGGCCCACCCCTTAGCTCGGTGGGTCAGCCCAACCATTGTAAAATTTTGAATCCCTTATTCCCATGAATGCTTCCTACCAAATATGATCCATACCCATGGCATAGTTTTACAGAAGTCGTTAATAGTAATATAGCCAAATTGGCCCCGCCCCTCAGCCCCCTGGGAGGTGCGCCCAACCATTTGTATAATTTTGAATCCCTGCCTCCCATGAATGCTTTTGATCAAATATGATTGATATCCAGTGCATAGTTCTACAAAAGAACTCGTTTGTAGCAATATAGCCAAATTGCCCCCTTTTTGGCCTGCCCCTCAGCCCCCTGGGGGTCAGCCCAACCATTTGTACAATTTTGTATCTCTACTACCTAGGGATGCTGCCAGTCAAATATGGTTGATATCCATCTCTTAGTTCCAGAGAAGAAGTCGCTTCAAGCAATAAAGCCAAATTGACCCCGCCCCTCAGACCCCTGGGGGGTCAGCCTTACCATTTGTACAATTTTGAATCCCCAATACCTAGGGATGCTTCCAGTCAAATATGGCTGATATCCGTCTCTTAGTTGGAAAGAAGAAGTCGCTTGAGGCAATATAGCCAAATTGCCCCCTTTTGGCCCCACCTCTCAGCCCCCTGGGTGGTCAGCCCAACCATTTGTACAATTTTAAATCACCACCAGCTAGGATGCTTCAAGTCAAATTTAGTTGAATTCCAATAAGTGGTTTAGAAGAAGAAGTCGTTTAAAGAAATTGTTGACGTACAGACGACGGATGCCACGATATGGCATAAGCTCACCTTGGTCCTTCGGACCCTGTGAGCTAATAAAATAGTTAATTATGCCTTCCCCAATTGATGACCTCATGTAATATTGAATTCACAGTTGTGATAAAACACCTTTTGACCTCTCTCTAACGAAGAGGTTTTATTTCTAGCATATCTGGGTCTGAAGAAGAAGGTTGTTGAATTTTTTGCTAATTTTCCCCTTCTGGCACCTCCCGTCTGGCATTTTCTGAATGTAATGAAGGTGTACTAATTCAGACCATAATGTATTCCAATCTAGCCACAAGGAGCTTAGCAACAAGGGTAAGGATACAACCACATTCCACCACCTGTAGGACCCACATTTACTACTGAACACACTACCAACTGTGTTATGCAGCCCTCATTTTATGCATGTTAAGTTTGTTTCAAAGGCACAGTCTGTGTGGAAATACTCACCTTTGATTTTCATTTCCTTGCAGCCGGTGGCGTCAAGAAAGCATTGGTCATTGCCTACAGTGTCGTTGATGTTTTGGTCAAGCCTGGTGACCAGTAGATACACAGCCCGATGGGTCAGGAACGTGTGGTGGGTTGTGTAGAATACAAACTGTCCTGCAAAGTCCCACACACTCAACTCTCCAAGCCTCTGCAAACAAAACAGATCAAAGTCATATAAATTGTGTCACAAGACATCACCTTTTCTCTTTCCTTCATTTTTATATCTGAAGAATTCATTCTAAATATTTTCTGAACAATTTTGTATTGTTGCAATTATGTAACTGTATACTTACTGTATAATCGCGATCTGCTAAGGGAACTTTCATCAAATTTCTAAGAGTCTTCAAGACAGATTCATTGGAATTGGCAGGAGTACTAGGTCCTAATTTTTTTAGATCATCATGATCTGCTCCTGCTTTTTTAAAAGCGGTGCTGTCGAGTGACTGTATCGGTCTTGCATGTCCTGCATTATGTTGATTATCATTGTCAAATTCATCAGAATTTGAAGCAGTTTGGCCTGATTTGTCACCTTCTGTGTTTGGATCTGCTCCTGTATTTTCAGAACCGATGCTCTGGAGTGACTGTATCAGTCTTGCATCCATGCATTTACCTGCATGTTGCATGTCTGTTAAAAACAAATTTTTCGATACAAAAGATACATTGGAAATAAATACACTTTTATTCCTTACGAAAGGCCCAAGTAAATTACACTGAATCATTGAATGTTTCTAGTATGATTTTTTAAGATAGATTTGCAGACCTATTAAATCAAAATATAAACTTTACGCATTGTTGTAATATTCTAATGATATGTAATGTTAATAAAGACATACCAGCATCTGTGATCCAGTCCTTATCATCTAGGTTTACTAAACTGTTGTGAATATCAACTCCATCAGTACTCTCTGTGTGTGGTATTTGTGGAAGTCTCAGGAGATTGCGAGTAAGCGTTGTCTTACCAACC